GCAGATGGTCAGGTCTCAAACAAACTGTGTTTACTTCTTGTTGCAGCACATGCCCTGCAAGCCTCCCTGTCTGAAGGGGTAGCTGCTGAAGTCACACAGCAGACTCCAGGGTGGCTAGTCATCTGGCTTGTGCATGTCAGATCTCTAGACAGACTGTTAAGTGTTCAGCTTGCTTGGGTCAATGGCTAATGAAACACTTAGTCACCCTCCACTGAAGATGAACAGCTTCCATGTGGTAGCAGGTAAGCTCTGATAATCAGTATATTTATCATATAAAGGACTGTGCTATCAGATACTTAACTATGTGTCCTGTGAGCAAAAAGAAGGAATATAAAATAAAGAAAAAATATCAGTAGGTTTATGGGAAACATCCCATTCATATATCAGGTGCCAGGAAAAAAAAACCTGCATGTTATTTCATCCATTTATCCCACGCATTTCAGTATGCTTGGCTGAGAATGCTACAACATCTAGATTTTCTTAGCACAAACTCCAGGCTGTGCTCGTGCTTGGCCAATTTTGTGCACTAGTTTGTTTGCTAGCACAAACTCCCGTTGCACAAGTGGTTATGCTGGAATTAACTATGACAACCACAAAGAATCGACACGGTGAATTAGCACTCCCTGTTTCCCCAGATAGCCACATTTTACAGAGAGCACACTCTTCTGCAGCTACAGTAATTATTTCCAATGTCACTGTTTTACAAGCGGAAATATTAAGCACAGAGACGTAAGTGACTTGCTAGTGGTTGCACAGAGGAGCACTGGAGAGACAAAACACAGGATTCTGACTGTCAGAGATGTGACTTAGCCATTTTCCAAGGCTGCTTAACTACAGCACATTGAGCCCACATGGCCCTGTGTGCAGTTTCCCCTACAAAGCAGCACATAAGGAGCTGATTTGGTAGGTCAAATTTTAATAATTCTCAGGAGCTGGCAGAAGAACAGGATACACAGAGAAATCATGTAGTTCCCCTTTGTTAGTGTTGACTGAAAGCACGAGGCAGTCTTCTGGTTACTCACCAATGCTCTTACCTGTGCCATATCATCCAAACAGTTAAAAATATACTTTCTTGCTTCCTTTGACTTGATCCCCGTCTCTGCCTCATGATCTTCTGGTGTCTGTGCAAAATAGGAGACAGGCATTGACCAGAACTACCCTGCAATCAGCTGTGGGTTATGTGCCACTTCCAGCTTGTGCCTCATTCTTCTCTCGTCAGAGACCACTGTGTCTCTCTCACCTGACTAGATAATATTTATGCTATTCTCCCCTATGGTTACATGACAGCTTTTGTGTCACAAGGTGATTTTATCTCATCTTTTTCACTTTAGAAGATTCGCTCAACTGCAGTGAGAGTCCAAGAGGTCTCTTCCACCCACTCTAGCATGAGGCTAAGCACCCCATGCTTATAGCCAGAAGCCTACTGTCCTCTCTCCTTGGGGACTGAATGCATCAAACACTCTGGTACAAGACACTAGGGGCTCACTTGCATTATTGGAAGTTTTAACTGTCAGAAGTAATGTTTTCTTCTTTGTTCTTCCTTCAATGCACTAGATATTAGAGCAAAGGCTGTCGAGGGTATGTTTTGTTTTAACTACACGTCAATTCATTTACTACTTAAGGAGATTTCCAGGTCAACTCTGGACTTGTATTTTCCATGAAACAATGACAAACAGGCAGGCTAAGGACTGCAGACTTTGGGGATCGCAGTTTTATCTTGGCGATATCCACCCCAACATCTGCGCTGCCCTGCTAAAAGCAGAGACCTAGGCTCGGAGGGGGCCTGACTGTCTCCTCACATCCCACCAGCAACTGCAAGGTAGATGAAACAAGAGAACGTCTTCTTACCTTCAGTCTCCACAAAGGGTATGGTGAGTCTGTATCCCTGTTGAAAAATCTCGTGGTCTTTGTCCCTGCACTTAACAAATACTCTGCTGGTAAGCCCTGGGTCTGTGAAATATAGCGAATCTGTAAGAGAAGGAGGAGAGGTCACCATTCATCCTGTGAACATCTCTGGAGGTCTTCCTTGAAGGAGGGGAGGAGACATTTAAAACAATAGAACAAATAAAGAAAGAGAAAACGTAGCACATAGCTGGACTTCATAAAAAACACCACACCAAACCAAACCCAACCCCAAAAAACCCAAACCCAACCAACCAACCAAACCACAATGTAAGGAATCAGAGGAAAGAGAATTCATGTGCAGCATCCCTCCATTTATCACGTATGACACTGGAAACTCACGTACAAATAAAGGGAGGAAAGTCCTTAGGTTTTAAGTGGTCAAAGAGGAAGCTCCACACAGAGATTTCAATGGGGTGTTTCACTGCTTGGAACCTTTTTATGTCATACCCTCCTCTTCAGGAGGTGATTTCAACAATTTGATATTCGTGCTTTAACTTTTGTTGTTTTTTTCCCCCAGCTGAGCACACAGCCTTTCCTAGGAGGAGTTTGAAGTTCAAAATGGAGGACTATGAAGTGAGTATCTTTGTACTTAGATGAAATATACACTCAAATGAACTGACACACTCATGGTATGTGAAGTAATTTATCTCTATTGCCTAAATGACTTCATTTGCTATTTGGGTTACTTCCAGGAGTGTGATCGTGCTGGCACTCAAACAGCTAAAAGACGTTACACACGTGTTTCCAGGATCTCATACTTTAATTTATTTACTCAAAGGAGAAAGGGTCTGTGATTACATGACTAGAGACTGATCTCACACATGCCTGGGGTGCCACACGAAACCTCACCTTTGGCATCTCCTGACTCCTGAATGTTTCACTCTGCAAAATCGCTGCAAACTCTGCAAAACTAGCAAAAAACCCCTTCTACTCTAGAACATTCTACTGAAGAATGGAAAGGGGTTTTGATTGAAGAGATGAGGGATGGGGGGAAATAAATAAAGGCATAAAAAGCAGCTGGGGTTCCAAAGACTTCCCAGCACTTGGGACCCAGTTTACCGGGCACGGGTTGCTCGGCTCTGCAGCACCTTAGGTCCATCAGAGCTCATGCACCTGAAAGGCGCCAGGATCCTGCCCACAGCCCAGCACCAGTGCTGCAGGGTGACTCAAGCTGCAGAAAGGGGCCAGGACCAGCCCCATACCTTTTCCCAGCTCCCCAGGAGCCCTCACCATACTTTAGTAGAATGAGATTTGTGCTGGGCATCTAAGCAGGGCAGGTGATTTCTTTCTCAGTTGTGCGTTTTATGGCTTTTGGGGTGTGGCAGTGAGGAGAAAGAAATCTAGTCGTCATGCTTGGTATGTGATTTTCAAATTCTTGTAAGTTTTTCAGATATGTCTGATTTGCTTTGGAGTCACTAATGGCTCTGCTCTTCACTGTGGTTATTTCCCCTGCCAAATTTCACCTTTAACGCTCTGACTAAAAAATTACCAGTTACAAAAGAACAGTCAAGGGAACATTTTCATATATGAAAAACTAACTTATTACCCTGCTCTTTTTTTGGTTTTGTATAATTTTCTAAAGAAAAAAGAACCTTTTCAGGCTGCATTTGCAGACAGCTAAGATCATCCTGAAGAAGACTATGGGAATGGAAAATGTTCTGTAGTCCTGGCTCTAGCAGCTGCTGTGCTATCAGTTTTAGGACTACAAAAGGAGCATAAAAGCCTATAGGGATAGAAGTACAACAGCTTATATTAACTGGAAACCTACACCACTGTGAACATTCTCCTTCTTGTCATTGCTTTTAATATGCACCCTCATAAAAAGGGTTATGAAACGCAGCAGAGTTTGTGCAGTTTTTTCTGACAAATAAACCTTTACTCAACACTTGCTGTTACAGCAGAGAAAGGGTGCCTGCTCTGCTCAGTGAGGAGAGACGTGTACAGAGCTCTCCAGTCATCGGCAGCATTGACTCTCCTTCGCTGGAGACATTCTAAACCTGCCTGGTCAAGTTCCTGTGTGATGTGCTCTGGGTGACCCTGCTCTGGCAGGGGGTTGGACTAGATGATCTTTCGAGGTCCCTTCCAACCCCTAGGATTCTGTGATTCTGTGACTCTGTGACTCTTGATTGAGATTTAACTTAGGCAGTTAAAAGACAGTGTACCAAACAGTACAGTGGTTACCTAGAATAAATACCCAGGAGGCTAATGAAAAAGTTGACTTAGGGTGGGGTGGATATGGGGGTGTAAGAATCACATACCCCTTATCAGCAAAACAGAAAATGCTGGCATCTGTTCACTCTGACAACAGGGGAAAAAATTCCGACCCACAAACATCTGTGCTCTTAGCAGCATCCAGAGCAGTATCTGCACTCACCTGATCATACTCAGAAGCTCCTGGGTACAACGGCCAGCCCAAGAACAGCTCTGCAATGACACATCCCAGCGACCACATATCGATTGCTTCACAAAATGGTAAACCAAGGATGATTTCGGGGGCTCTGAAAAGGAAGAGGTTAGAAAACATCAGCAACCAGAGCGGATCTGCCTGGCTAGTGTAGGGAGGCCCATGATGCTCACAAAGCTGCCTGCTGCCAGCAAGTGTCATTGCTCCTATGCAGCCAAGGGCTCCACTGGCCACCAGCAAAGTGCCTGCAAACCAAGTGTTAGTTGGTGAATATTTATCCTTGAAGAAGAGTCCTCTGGCAGCATTTCACCCAGAGAGAGTCCTGTTTTGCAGCAGTTTGCAAAAGGAGAGAACTGCCATTGTTTTTCATTTGGCAGGTGGGAAAATGAAGCACAAAGAGAACATTGTGCATTCAAGGACACCCAATTAAGGCCCCCAGTGGAGGCTCCCAGGCCCAGTTTGCTGTCCTGTGGAGGAACTGTGTGGACTCCCTGCAGTGAAGCATCTTCTGTTCACATAGCTTGGTGGGCTTCACAAACAGCCAGACATTAAATAATCATTACAGGACTGGTATAAAAGGATTACTGACTTTTCAAACAAATAGATGTAACCATAAAACAGAGAAATAACATAATTAGATCTATTAGACCTAAGTCTTTTCCTCAGGAGGAACTAGCCAAGAAGCCTTCACTTCCCAGTCTATCCCAGGCACCTGACTAGATTTCCTCTTCCCTTCCACCTCCAACAGCCAAAATGTGGCAGCCCTCCTGCTATGCATCTGCTGCTGGCTTCAGGAGATTCCCACTGAGGCACCTCCATTCACTGACTTTTAAGTATTAGCCCTGCTGAGGAAGCAGAGAACAAAGTAAAAGCTTTGCTTCAGCTCTCCAGGAGGATCCCCAGCCAGGAGGACATGGAGGAGATGCCCAAATAAGCAAGACCAGTTTCAGCCTAGACTTCCACTGAAACTTAAGGTGAGGGTCATTTCACCTTTCAGCCAGGTAGAAGGTAGTGTCAAATCTTAGTTAGCTACAGTGCAGCCTATGCAGTCAATCGAGACACACATTCACCACTTCACCATGCCAAGAGGGATTTGTCACACTGTGTTGGGATGGTTTGAATCTTTCTTCACTGAGGCTAGACAGGCTCTCTAAATTCCAGTGGCCAAGGTAAGACAAGATGAATCCTCACCTTAGTGAGTATGATGATGAAGCACCTAAATGCTTTGTATTTCAAAAGCAATTTTTAAGTGGCAGAATCCAAATTATCTTACAAATACTGAAAATCTTAAACAAAAACTGAGCTCCACACACAAACACCTTCCTTTTTTCCCTACCTCAGGCCAGACTTGCACATGCAGTTAAGTGCCTTAGGTCCTGTTTTACACAGGGACCACCCATGACTGCTCTTCTTGCAGATCCAGCAACACTTTCTTTCAAAGTCCCAGCTTCTGAAGGTGGGTGATGCACAACAGAAAGAAACCCTTACTCCTCTAACTACATTAAAAAAAAAACCAACCAAACAAGCAAACAAAAAAAACAAAACAGAAAAAGCTGAAGACAGGTAAGAGAAATAAATGTGTATGGCTTTAAAACTTCTGTAAATTTAAAAACAACATTGGGATTTCTCAGGCCATGATGCATATTTGGGAAATGCCTGGGGTTGACTATTAAAAAAATCAAATGCCACCATTCAGAGCTGGAAATAGGGCCCATGGTTCACAGTTTCCCATCTGTCATCAGGATAAGATCTGACACTACTGAGATCATACTAAGGATTACCAGTTGCAGTGGAAAATATTACGTTTTAATCACACCATTATACAGTCATGTGAAGACAAGTCTTTAATCAAGAAACCAAGCAAAATGGCTAGTTTTTTCCAAGGAAACAAGCAAAGGCCTTGTAGCAATTAAAAAGTGGCTACGCTACCCTTAGCCCTTCTAGCTTCATCTGTGCTTGTTGTTCTCGTACCTCACTGTTCTTTAAGCCTATCATGACAAACTTTTTATCCTAACACCAATCTCTTCTAAGGAATAAGGGGTTAATTTTCCTACTTTCCTTCCCATTCAGCCATCCCTGCATACTACTGACACCTAGACAAAATGCAGAGAGAAAAAGACAGCTATGGTGACCTGAATCTCATTACTATGTAAATCCTGCATTCAAAGCCATCTGCCTCTCCCTGTCTGCCTTCTACATTGTGAATGAAATGTCCCTGGTCACTAATGAGAGCTCAGCCACTCATCATCTGAACTTCAAATCCCTCCCACTAACTCAAGTGGAGGAGCAGAGGGGTGGACTTCAAGTGGGATATTCCCAATGTGATTTTGTGTAGAAACCTCCCTTTTCACAAAAATTACTTGTGTTGCTGTCATATGCAGCACACGCCTCTCCTCCGCCCTCCCCACACTTACGCTGCCAACACCTCCAAACCCCTGTGAATAGGGATGACCTAGAAATGGAGGTTCCAAAATTTCTAATTTTTTTTTCTCATGAGTCTTCAGCTGTCCAGTGAGTTTTCCTTAAAGCTCTAACTTCCAGATTGCAGCGACTAGGAGACATTTTCTTTTTCACACACAAAAGAAGTTTTGCAGCTCCACTGTTGGGAAGAGAAGCACAAAACCAGTATCCATACCGCTTAGACAAGTAAGAGGCAACTAAAAGGAATGTCATTAATGTCTTAAACCAGACCTATCATTGTAGGGAGGGGAGGTGGTGAGATAGTTTTAGCTGTTTGAAAGCTGGTATTTACATTACTCGACCAAGCCTAAACATTATGTGCAATCTTTGCCTGTTCAGCCCCAAATAGATGATAATTTTGGAACAGTGATGAGAATCCCTGTGAGGAGAGGGCCAGATCAAAGTGATAGGGTGCCCTATGTGCACCACAGCCAGCGTCTGCTGCAGCTTTCTCCCAGCCCTGCCTTTGTGTGTTGACTGCAATTTTTCCATGGAGAGGGACTGGCCCTAAGACAAAAAGAACTTGTTAACTTAATCAAGCAGTCATTAAGACATCAAAAGAACGACAGGTATCAGACACCATACAGGCTTCCAGATTTTCAGCTTGCAGACACCTCCCATTTGTCATGAGTAAGAGAGAGCTGGAATCACTCCAGGAGGAGCAATGGTCTGCCTGCCTGCTGGCACCCTCTGCTAATGGACAACACCAAGAGCTTGGGTGGAGGATGCTACAAGTTCTGTAACGAAACAACTCCAGTGATAAAACGCCTTCTGAACCTCTATCAAGTGGAAATTGTTCTGTATGTTCTGATATGGATGCAGAGAATCTTCTGCACATAGATCTTTACCTAACACACAGAACTCCTCTCTTTCTTAACATAAACTTGTCAGTTTTTACAGACAAGGTGACATCTTGACTTCAATCACATATTGTGCTTGAATCACCTTTCTTTTAGCACATCCTATTTTTACAGGTTGCCTTGTTCTCCCTTGTTAGCAGCAGCTTCTGGCTTCTCGGTGTTCCAACCCATGGATGTTTCAATTCACTTCCACCACCCGGCCCTACAATTCCTCTTTCTAACCTTACCGCTTGGAAACAGGCTGAACAGACCTTGAAACAGTTAAACAACAGGATATTCCCCAGACTTGTTCTATACTATTTGCAGAATGCTTTTTGCGTTCCAGTCTTCCCTGAGCCTAGTATTTTGTTTGCTTTTGGAGTGACACGAAGCATTTCAGCAGATGTTTTATCTGGGAGATCCTCTGAGACACACAGTCCTTTCTCCAGAGGAGCTGCAGTTAATTTAGGACATAGTATCATGTAGAAATAGTTCAGTTTTCCAATGTTTACTGTCTTTCAGTACTCCACTAATCTGGCAGAATGTTGTCTGTAATCTAGACAAAGACCCTCAAATGTTTCTCACTCTTTTCTGCAGCCTAACCTTAGCAAGGCTGTGGTATCTGCACACTTAAGTACTTTACTGCTGATCCACCACTTTTTACAGATAATTAATACCTTAAATAACTCTGCTCCTAAGATGTGCACACCAGCCACTCAACAACTGACTCTTTTATATCGAAAAGCACTCAGATTTAGCTCAGCTGTTTTAAGAATGGTGTAATTCTCTTTTCCAAAAGGAAGGAAAACATTTTCATGTCTTTGCCAGCTCTTATGTGGGATTTCTCCACTGTGCAGCTGTGCAACAGGGGAAAATACCCTATTAAAGTCTGCACATCAGAGTATTGTAATTATAAATCAGGAACGATTCACATGGAAGCAGGTCCTCCCAGAACAGCACTGAGATCTTCAGTATATCCCCATGGCTGCACAGGGAAGTGTTTTCCTTCCCAGTAATACTGCTTTTTTCAACACAGACCCACCAAAACTTCCAGTTGTGGTGGGAATCTCATAGCCTGCAGCCAGATAGCTTTGTATGTTCAGGAACATTTGCCACTCTCCACCAGGTTTTTGTGCATTCACATCTTCAGCACAGAAATTCCAGCTAATAGAGGGAAAACAGAAAATTTGACCCTCCAGCTAATAGAGGGAAAACAGAAAACTTGTCCTCCCTCTCCCACAAGCTGCCTTCAACATCTCCCAATGAAGGGCACTCCCCTTCTGTATGTGCAGGCACAACCTGCTCTGCAGCTCACACAGATCTCACCAGCATAGACCAAGGGTTTAGCAACCACTCACCGACCTGGGAGAGACTGAAGAGCCTCACCAAGAGCCCGTATCTCCATGAGGGAAGCAGCCATCCCGTGCCCTCTCCATACACCTCCTACCACTTTGCCAGACCAAATTACTGCTCTGGCTAGCAAAGGGTGATCTCCTCCTCGATGGCATGCGGGATCCAGCAAGTCCCTTATCACCTTGGAGTCCAGCTTGAATGTGCCCATGTATACTAGAGACTTGCTGTCACTGGCAGTGCCCTCAGGTCCCCAAAGGCAGAAGTGCCATCTCATCCTTTGCTTCCACCTCACGTATGACCCTGCCCTGCTTGCAGGCCTGCTGCTGGCAGAGCATTTACTTTAGGAACCCTGCTTTCTGGCAGGGTAATTTCATTGTCTGGTGTTTCTGTCAGGAAAATTAATTACCAGTCTAGCTCACTGGCTTTTTCACCTACACATCAC